AGAACATACATATGTTTTTTAGATTCCTTTTATCAACCTTTGATAAAAAAAACCAACTATGATATTAAAACAATGCAGAACACACTCAAATACAGATGACCAGCAAAATAATCATTCTAAAAACAGAATTTTCACGTTTTGCAGTACAAAGTATATAGTGATGATAAAGGTGATAACTACAATTGCTAACATTTTTAAGAGTCCCTCCCAGGTATTAAGGGAATTTTAAGAGCTTCATGGATATTAACTAACTTATTTAAAATCCTTTTGTGCACACTTTGGTACTATTATTATCTCTTTTCTACAGATAAAGAAATTGAGATACAGGTAAGTAACGTGCTCATACACTAGGTGATGAGCCATGATTCAATCCTAAAACTATTCTGCTTTTCATCATTTTAGGTAAGTGTTTATACTATTTGCAATTTAATTGCATACATAAACTCTTTAATATAGTTCTGTATTCCAGTATGTTAGAATCTTTCAGTTAATTTTATTGCAAATATTTACAATGGAATATAATGGAGTGCATGTATACCTTCCAAGAACCTAGAAGACAAACTAGTTTTTAATTGCATAAAATGGAAATATTGATGCTAAAGCACATAATAAATTCAGAATTGTTGACATTTATAACCATCTAAATCCTCAGGGCCATGCCAACAGTCTTACCTAGCTAGTATGTTCCACAGAGTTTAAAGAGAATACGTTCAGATGGTAGACACAGTCAGGGGTTGGACAGCTCTCATTAAACCAATCTATATTTATACTAATGAAAATGAGCTAGAGCAAGTACTTCCCAACTTACTCATACAACATGAGCCTTAGACAAATGGTTGGAGGTTCAGTCAGGTCCCCTGACAGCTGACAGAATCAATAATCTACCTATTTATAATTTATATATGGCATACAAGTTGGGAAGATATGATATAGAGCCGTTACTTCTTATAAAACTTTGCAGACAAATCACTCCGTGCTCTTGATAAAATGTAGACTAGGCCTGGAGTAGTAAAGGCAGATTCTGCATTTCTATTGACCTCCAGGTGCTGCTACTGCCGCTGCCTACACACAGAGTCGCAGGGTCTAGGGAACTTTGGGGCCTCAGTTAACTCTGAATTCATCTTTTTGGGGGTGGGAGTGAGACTGATTTCTTTTTTATTATGGTAAAATATACATAACAAAAATGCCCATTTTAACCATTTTTAAGTGTACAATTCAGTAGCATTAAGTACATTCACACTGTGCAACGATCAGTACCATCATCCATCTCTAGAGCTTTTTCATCTTCCCAAACTGAAATTCTGTCCCCGTTAAACACTAACTCCCTGCTTCCCTCCCCTCAGCCTCTGGCAACCACCATCCTACTCTGTGAATTCCACTACTCTAGGTACCTCGTAAGTGAATCATAAAATATTTGTCCTTTTAAACTGGCTTATTTCACTTGGCATAATGTCTCCAAGGTTCAGTCAGGTTGTTGTGTGTCAGAATGTCTTTCCTTTTTAAGGCTGAATAACATTCCGTTGTATGTATATACTAAATTTTGGTTAGCTATTCATCCATCTATGGACACTTGGGTTGCTTCCACGTTTTGGCTACTGCGAATAATGCTGCTATAAGAGTGGGTATACAGCTCACTCAAGAGTTTGAGCTCTGAGCAACAGCGGTTCGATGCCCTGCCCGAGCTGAGCAGCCGNTAGAAAACATAATGTAGTATAGATGGTTATATTTACTTATGCAAATAAATTGGATTTAAGAGAAGACTGGAAGCTATTCTATGCAAATATAAGAAAATGAAAGTGAAGAAATACAGTTGGCATTAGATAGAAGCTAATATTTATTAAAACTATCCAAAAATACTTTGTTTATATGTAAAACTGATTTAAGTTCTGGGTTGAGCATTAGAAATAGGTTTTTAACTTATGTGTATCTAACAGTGCATTTGAAATTTGTGTGGAAGTGGGTTGATTTTTCATGGTACAAAACTAGCCCTCTACTCCACCCCCGTTATGACAATCAAAAAATAGCCTGACAAATTTCCAGCTGCCTCTCAGGGGGCAATACTGCTCCTTAAGAACCACTGCTCTTTAACAACAAACTAATGCATGCGTACATCTGTCTGTTCAACTTCCCCATCTGTATACATATAACTATGTTTATAATTATGGCAAGTAAATTGACAAAATGAGTTGAAGGCTTTTATAAAATTTACTGGCTAATTCTCTTGGCCTCACTTAGGAAATCTGAGTGGTGATCCCATTTTTGTTACTTCCAGTTAACCCTCCCTTGTACAGTAAGCAAAACAGCCGGAAGTCAGGTAACTGAGTTAAAGGCAGTGTGAAACAGATCACCCTGAGATGGACGGACTCCACTGTTCCTCTCCTCTAGTTCAGATGAAGAAGCAGTTTTCTCCAGAGCAGTGTTTTATGTATGTATGAGGGAAAAAATTAATTTTTTATGAACTTGCAGGGCTTAGTGTTTAAAATTGCAGCTATATTCAATTGTATTGGTAACTGAGAACATGCAAATAGAATATTTACTTGAAATAGAAAATTAAACTTTACCTTGCCATATATACATATGTGTATATATAGAATTGCTAAGAATTCTAGAGAACTTGAACAATTATCTTGTCTACATAGATAAAACCTACATCAGCACACTGTAATGATCTATATGAAAATATAGCCTGAAATCTGTAATGAACAATATTTATTTGAAAATTGTTCCTGGTTAGACATATTTCAGGTAAGTTCCTAACTCAGCTTGAATGTTTGTTTACATATTCAGGATATACGGTATAGGTGGATGAACTTGATATTAAAATTGATATGTCAATGATTATGTGTTCTCATTAACAGCTCCAGGTCCAGGTCCAGCTCCAGTTCCAGTTCCAGGTCCCAAAACCCATCCCTCTGCATCCTCTGGCAAAATGCTCCTTCCACCATTTGGGACAGTCATCATTTTAATCAGTGCTTCTGCTATATGTCTCTTTGTTGCTCTGTAGGCTGATACATTCTTTATTACTTGAAATACATTATAGGGATCCTACAGAAAATCATCAAAAGGAATGATGTATTTTTCACTTGTTGGCCAAAGTCAATTAATAAAATGAGAACTGCATTTATGTTACTCACTTTGCAAATTCAGAAAGTTGGTCCAGATATTACAAAGTCATTTTCACTTATTTGTGTATTAACCTTAGGATTGCAGAAAAACTGTCTACTTCTTACTGAATTCAATAAAAGACTTTAAGATTATTAGATATTTCAGTAGAATTGTTAGATATTAAAATATTTCAGTGTTAGTGTTTAACATGAATTTAATTACTTAATTAGAATGTTATTCTACTATCTTTGAAGGATTAGACTTTGACTTCAAATAGTATCATCCAATATCTGAACACTTTATTTTTCTATAAACACAAGAGTTTATTTACCAAGTGTCTTGCATACATAGTCCCTAACTTAAATCTCATGTTAATCCAGAAAGTAGACAGTACTCTCTCTGTGCTAAATATAAATAGCAAGGGAAAATGAGTTTATAGTGTAGTACCAGTACCCTCTTCCCCAATGTACTGTGGTGGTTGAGTAAACACTCATTTAGGCATGGAGCTTAGGTAACTGACAATTGTTTACACTTTGCCAGTGTTTCAAAAAGGTTTTAAAGGCCACCTTTAAAGATACAGAAAAACTACATAAAATCTAAACTAGGTGTTGGGGTTCAGTGTGCTTTAATTCCACCATCTCTTTATGTTCAGAATTTTAAGTAGACTATCCACAAGAACCATTAGCCAGCTGAAGACTAAACACAGAACTTCTGTAAGCTGTTGGAGAACACAACTTAGAGCTGAGGCCAAAGTGAATCTTGTCTCTGCCTACTCAGCAAATCTAGAACTTGGTTATTACTTGCTTGGAACACACCTGTAGTACAAATCAAGTTGTTATCTAACCAGCTACAAGAACAAGGGCCACAGGCCTGCCTTACCCATGCACTAAGTCACTAGCAGGATAGAAAGTGGGAGGCCCACTGGGCCTGTCTTTAAAGCAGACCCTGGGCCTATCTAGGGGTATTTATCATGTGAAATTGGGAACCTAACAGTATCAGAACATGAAAAATGAAAGGCTAGAGATAGGAGCATGGTATGCACGAGTAGTGATCTGTCCACTAGGGAATGTGGCTCAGCAAGTAACACTTTTCATCAGTCAGGTCAGCAATTCTTCCTATTGTAAGAGGGTATGCAGAGTGACAAACTCCTTCCACTGTCAGCTATGTGGATGAGAAGGATAGAAGTGCCTATCTTCTGGTCCGAGGAGAAAAATTTCTCTCCCAATACTGTTGGAACTGTAACGAGTAGGAAAGTGTGATGAAAGAGGGTAGTATATAGAGTAGTATAATAAGTTTGCAAGCTGTGAACTTGGCAAAAGTGGCTGCTAATGTCTAGCAGCTAACTTGGAAATAACCAGTTTTAAAGTTCCCGGTCTCCTACACAACTGTTACCTCGTCTACAGGTGGATAGAAATTCCTTCATTGGGATCTCAGAGGATGGCCTCCGGGTATACAGTGCAGCACACTCTTCACTGTGTCATACAAACAGCGGAAAGATTCATGCCAAAGCATTACACAGAAATGTAAAGTTACAGCATTTCCAGGAGGGGTCAACCTGATGTAATGTAGCCCAGGTATGCAATTGGTAGTTAGAAAAGGTGTTCAAAATTATCTGGTTGTGAAAGACTATTTTATATTATTATGTCTAATTCAGATTTTCTAGTGTTTTTAGATACTAATGATATATTAGGGAATTCTTTATCCTAGATCATATCTGAAGTAAGTTTTATTTGCCAAGTCAAAATTGATTAGCATTGATATATTTTCCTTACAAGGGAAAAAAAAAATCAGACTTAAAACAAGGAAAGACTAAGATTCTTGAATTGTGATTATGATTTAATACTCACGTGGATATGAATGGTCATTCTCCCAGAGCCAAATAAAGCACCAGACAGAATTATATAAAATTATAATCAAGAATTTATTCATTTTTCATCTTTTTTAGAAATAAAAAGGTTTAAACAAAAAGTTGCAAAA